ACATAAAAAATAATGCAAAATTAAAGGTATATATGTGTCCACGTGGACACATATATACCTTTAAAATACACTATTAAATAGTTCAGGGGGTAAAAAATACGATATTAAATAGTCTAGGGAGGTGATAGGTCCTCATGAAAGTTTAGTATCGCAACAGCAAATCCGACCAAAGTTAGGGTATTTTTCAGACCATTATCCCTATAAATTTAGACACGATAGCAAGTGTAACAAAATATTGCATACTACTACAATACAAAGACGACCCAAAAGTGTAGAGTTCACTTTCCCCGAATCTAGGGACACATTTCTTGTCCAACAAAATGACCCGAATGTAAGCGTAACCCTAACTCTCAACCCGAAAAGTGAGCTTAGAGTTGATCAAGAAGATGAAGCGCAAGAAATGGTCTGAAGTGGAAGAGCAAACTCTGCTCACTAAGTACTCAGACCTCCTCAACTCCGGCATCTTAGCCAAGCTCAAAACCAGAGAGAAAAAATTCAAACCCATTGCTGACCATGTCAATACCGTACATCACCTGCAAGACCCACTTCACTTCCCTTTCAAATGGTCATGGCGTGACGTATCCATCAAAGTTCAAAACATGCGACATCAGTATCTGGGTGTCAAGCAGAAAATCAGAACATCAAGCAACGAGTTCAGCTGGAAAGATGGAGAGAATCACTGGGAAAATTTCTTGAAGTACAAGGAAGTGTTTGGGGATGTTGAATTGGATATCAAAGAAAATGCCCCCAATAATGATATGATTGAGCTTTATGGTGATGATGGTGTATTGGGTTTGGGATTTGGGATCGATAGTGAGGAATTGGAGGATGATGATGAAGATGGTGAGTTGGGTCATGATGTGGATGGAAGTGGGGAGGGAGAGGAAATTGAGGATAGTGTATGGATGCGTGGAAGGAAAATGAGGAAAGGGTTTTGTGGTAGAAGGATTAGGATGGTGGGTGGGCAAGTTTTAGAGTTAAGGGATGTTTTGATGAGGAGGGAAGAGAAGAGGAGGGAGAGGGAGTGGAGTAGGGAGAAGGGTATGTTGGAGAGAGAAGAAAGAAGGAAAAAAATGGAATTGTGCAGGGAAAGAAGAGATGATGAGAGGAATGAGGATATAGAGATGAAGGGATTGATGTTGGAAGAAAGACAGATGAGGTGGGCTAAGAGGGAGTGTGAGAAAAGGTTGAGGTTAGAGAGGGAATTTGATGAGGAGAAGAGGCAAAGAATGAAGTTGGAGGAGAAATGTGAAGAGGAAGAACTGGAGTGGAGGCAGCGTTTGGTGAATATGCAGATTGACCATGAAAAGCAAATGATGCAAATGCATGCTGATGCTTGCCAGAACCAAACGAATTTGCTTGGGATCATGGCTCGGCTGGTCTGTCAATTTTTCGGCTCGGCAAATGATGGATTAGGGGGTGGTTTGGGGACGTTGTCTGCACAAGTTTTGCAGAACTTGCAGCACCCAGGGGGATTGAGTGATAGTGGGAAGCCAGATGCTCCTTCACCTTCCGAGTTTTTGTAGACTGTAATTAGCTCCCATCTATTCGGAAGTCTTGAATAGAAGTTATAATCAGTAAATTTATGTATTTGATGCTTTACTGTAAAAAATATTGATGGGGATCTTTTCCTGGATAAATGAAATGCCCTTTTAACATTGTTGGAAGTTGTGTTGCTTCCTTTTTTTGCAATTTATGCAGGTTGTCACAGCTAAAGCTCTTTCAGTTATGTGAAGAACAATAGGTAACAACACACGGCGTTGAATGTAGAATTGCAGATGTGATTATTAAAGATTGAAATGTCATAAAAACGTAGATGAAAGCTGTAGTTGGCAATTCTTAAGCCCCTATTCAGATATTTACAAATTCAAAGTTTGATTCTTCCAATGCTCGTAACCGCCTTTCTGGTTTTATGTCTCCACATATCTCTATCCTGGCTTTTCATATTTCACTTAGGACTAGGAAATTCAGGTGCAGCTTTAGCCTTTAGTTTTTCAATCTGGACTTTTGTAGCATTACTTGTGTTTTACATCAGTCGATTGAGTTCTTGTGAGAGGACTAACTTCTCTGAATGAAGATGCCTTCCTTGCTGTCGGACAACTCTTTCGTTATGCAACTCCATCCGCTTTAATGGTTTGGTAAGAAGAACTTTTTTTGTTAAGTAGTCTTATCACAATTTTTATAATTTATCTTGATATATTTTTGTGCAATGGAAATCATCATAGCCTTAAATGGTGGTCATTTGAGGTGCTCACTTTGCTATCTGAACTTTTACCAGATCCAAAACTTGAAACATCGGTACTATCAATATGGTATGTATGTATGCACCAGTTCATGATTAACTATTTTATGCTCAATTCGTGGTTTGTGTGTAGTACTGATCCTCATATTTTGTTTGATCAGCTTAACGATTTCTTCATTGCACTTTGTTATACCATTTGGATTGGGAGTTGGTGCAAGGTTAGTTCAATATTCATGCTTTTTCTTAAAAACTTTAAAAACATCACATAAATTATGCATCCTTGCTATGTCTTTAAGACTACAATTTCTGGCTCGAGTATAGCACGAGGGTGTCAAATGAATTGGGATCTGGTAATCCTCAGAAGGCTCTAGTGGCAGTTAGAGTTGCAATGTTTCTTGCAGTTGTAGAGACGGTCTTGGTGAGCACAGTAACATTCTTATGCCGCGGAGTTTTGGGTAAAGCCTATAGCAATGATGAACAAGTGGTGGATTATGTTGCTGCAATTGCCCCTTTTCTGTGTCTATCATTCATCACAGATAGCTTACAAGCAGTTATCTCTGGCAAGTCTTCTAACTAGCTATTATATCTTTCAATGATCCTTAAGTAGTTGTTTGGACAACTTTTATTTGAAATTGAAATGATGATGTAGTGTAAATTTTTGGCCTGTAAACAGGAATAGCTAGGGGAAGTGGATGGCAGATTATTGGTGCATATGTGAATCTTGGAGCATTCTATCTAGTTGGAATCCCAGTTGCTTCTTTACTGTGTTTCGTCGTAAATCTGAAAGCAAAGGGCCTTTGGATTGGACTTTTGGTTGGTTCTGCAATTCAAGCAACTAGTTTTCACTGATTGGCAAAAACAGGTCCATACTAGTATTCATTTTTTGTTGTATTGTTTCACTCATTGTGATGGAACTTTTGCAGGCAATAAAAGCTAAGAAGAGGATATCAGAAAGGAGATAAATCGGATAGTTTAATTGCTTGCTAAATATATATGTATTTTTTTTAGAGGATTAGATTATCTTCAGCAGTGGTTGGCAACAAGTTTAGGTTCTATTTATTGCTATTGGCTACAGTTTTTTTTAACCCATAGTTTATACTTTCTGTTATCTTGAATTCAGAAGATAATTAATGTATGAGGGTGCATCTGGACAAGGTACTGCCTCCGTCCAACAATACTTGTCAACTATTTACTTTGCACACTTTTTAAGAAATTACTTCATCCGTCCAGCAATAATTGTCCAACAATACTTGTCAAATTTAAAAAATCAAGAGATAATTTATTTTTTGTGTCCATTTTACCCTTGCTATTAAATACTTACTATTTACTCATTTAACACATTTCTCAAAACATTAAATTTAATAAAGTCAAAGGATAATATAATAATATTACCCCAATTATTTATTGTTTCTTAAGGGACGTGTCAAGTCAATAGTGGATAAGTATGGTTGGACAGAGGGAGTATAATAGAAAGATAATTTTATTATATCACCCTTTGAATAATAAATACAATGTCTTGAAAAATGTAATAGAAAAATATGTATAATTAATGATAAATGTAAATTAGATTTTAAGTGTAAAATTATCTACTAATTTCATAAAGTAGATAAATATTATTGGACATCTCAAAATAATATAGTAGACAACTATTATTGGACGAGGAGAATATATAATTCGAGCGTTTGCATCTGTTTTAAAGGTTGACTACTACTTAGTATGGGCAGAATTTATCTATTTATTTTATCAGTAAATAAAGTGTGTCCCACTAAGTAGTCGATAAGTATGGACAGAGTTTATGACACAACGAAGCATGTATTTCTTAAATCTTAAAAAATATAATAAGTGGCAATACAAATGACGATTTGTTTAACAAAGAAGATGACATGCCAACAAGAAGAGGAAGTTGCTCGGATGATAAATATTTCTCTTTGTAATAGAGCATAAAAAAAAAGTGGGAGGTAAAAAAAAAATAGACTTGCACTAGACAAATCCAATTTTGATAGATGAAGCAAAAATCAACATGTTTGACTGATAAATCCAAAACTTTGGCTAAAGAAACGTGATTGGTGAAAAGCAACATGTTTGGCTCCAACTAAGATGAAGAACAACATAAATAACGTACGTGTTTTATTAAAAAGTAATTACTCTATATATAATTTCTACTCACTTTCAATAATAACATTATAATATATATATATACTAGTACTAATACATTACTACTAATACAACAAATGACCCATGTGGATGTGGGTGTGGGGAGAGGGGGTGGGAGTCCCTACATTTTTTGTTATGAAAAAAAATTGACAACACTACCTAACTCTCTATGTTTATGGTTGATCACCAAGTGTCTATTATGATTAATTTGAATTCACGCATTGTAAGATTCATTTCTGAAGGTGGTGTTTTGAATAAAAAAAAAAATTCATATTCAAAGCTTAAACTAACAGCTTTAATCTCAATCATTTCATCACAATCCATATTGAAAAAAGTAGAAAAATTGATGGGGTGAAAGAGGCTCTATCCTAATTAGTCTTCCTTTAATTCATATTAAGTGAATTGTTGGGGATTTGGGGGTATGACACATTCCTTAATAAAGGTATATAAGGACATAAATTAAAGGTTATTTTTTCATTATTATCCTTCTTATTATTTTCAAATTATTCTCGTAGTAAATTTAAAATAGTTAAAAACTCCATAAAGAAGAAGGGTAAAAAAAGTTTCAATAATTCTCTGGACCTTTAAAAAAATTGAATTATTTTGAACTATGAAAAACAATTCACTCAATATGAACTACAGGGATTGAGGGAGTATGATCTTATGTTGTAAACGTTTGCTTTTATTTTCTTCTTTCCTACAAATTAATAGTAAGAAATTTGAAAATTATATTTAATCTGTAAGCAAGATTTTGCGAGTGAAATTTGTTTATTATTACTACTCAACCTGCATATATTTTTGAGTTTAGGGTTTAATTAAACGTTGCAAAATTTAAATCTATTTATTCTAAATTAATGTGCACATTGTATTATTTTAAAGCAATAACTTTAGTCCACTCTCCCTTAGAAAATGAAGTTTCATATATATGAGTTTTATCAATAAAACAGTCAACGATGTTTAATTATACTCGTTTATAAAAGAACTAGACATCGGAGCCCGTGCTAGCATGGGCCCAATATGTATCATTTTTTGTTTCAATTTATGTGACAAAGACAAAATTAAAGAGTTAATCAAACTTTAATATTAATTTAAAATAGTTTAAATTTTTAATTATTGTTAACTATGGTAAAAAATTTTTTATGTCTTTTAACATTCTAAATTGCTAATTATTGTTGTATGATTTGTAATATCTTTTACGCAATTTTGAAATAATAAAGGTTATTTCTTCTTTC